AAAAAAAAAAAAAAAAGAAGTACTGAGAAGAATATTTCCATAAGATCCCACCAGCTGCCTGCGTCTGTGCCTGTAGACCGTATCTTTTCTCTGGTTCTTACAGAGGAACTGTCCTTGGACCACCTGAGGCCAGCCCATCCATGTGTCCCCTAGATCCCACGCTCTTGCTTGTTGAAGGATATTTTTCCTACATCATGAATTTTTCTGTCTATTAATCAGAAGACAGTATGCTCTTATTTTTCTCATCGTAAAAACTCTTTAGTTTAATTGCTGGGGGATTTCGACCCCACAAAGTCCTGCTCCCACCCCATTTCCTTCCCTTTCTTCAGCTTGTTCAACAGTTGTATATACTTATTTCCAGTTCCTCTCTTTCCAGTCTCTCTTGAATTCACTTGAATGGGGATTTACCTCCGTCATTTCCCTGAAGCTATCTTATTGATGTTATCAGTGCCCTCCATGATTTTTACCAGTTTATCAGTTTTATTGATATTCTTTAATTGCTACTAATTGCTTGTATAAAAATCAGTTTTACTTTTCTCTTTCCCTTTCCTTTCTCCTCCCTTTTTAAGTTGTGTTATTTCTACTTTATCAAAACACGTAATATTTACACATGAGTTTAACCTGTTCCTCACCTCTCTTTAATCTTAGATGTCCATTTATATTTTTTTAAATGCTCACTGTCACTACTTTTGTTGAAATTTTTCCCAGTCCTCTCCTGGTTGGGTAAAATTATCATCCAGTAGATGTTTTGAGAAGGGCTCATAGGTGAAGAGTTCTTTAGGTTCTTTTATGTTCAAAATTGTTTTTCCATAGCCTGGATATTTGAAGGAAAAACCTGTCTGGATATAAAATCCTTGGTTTACCCTTTCTTTCACTGAACTTTAAAAAAACAGAATTATTACTTTGCTTTGTATGTAGAATTTGGAAAGTCTAATGTGAGTCAAATTATTTCCCCTTTGTATGTTATTTGGCCATTTTACTTGGAGGCCTTGAGGATTTTTTTTATCTTGGAAATCTAATAGCTTTCCTAGGATATTTCTTGGAGTTGATTATTCTGGGTTAATTTTCCCAGGTACCCATTGGCTCTTTCAATGTATGGGTTCAGATCTTTTTCTATTTCTGGAAAGTTTTCTTGGATTATAATTTTTGGCAGTGGTTTTAGATAGACCTTAGACCCTTATGCTAGCTTCCCTCGTCTGTCCTCCCTGGGCCCTGCAGTATTTTCTCAGTCTGCTTTTGCTCGCCTTGTGGTTAGCCTGGGTGGGGGTGGGTGGGGATATGGGGGTTGGCAAGAGCAGTGGCGATAACACCCTAGGGTTTGGTGATTTATCTCTTTGTATTTACAGTTATTTTAAAGTTTGAGTTATCCTCTATCTTCAAGTTAAGCTGAAGGTGTGGTTTTCTTATAGATTTATTTTTCTCTTATTGTTGTTTCTTGTTTTGGAAGAAAATATTAGGATGTGTGGAGCTAGGCCATCACTAATGTCTTCAGCTACTCAAAAGTTCTGGTAGGAAAATTTTTAACCTCAACAAAACACTATCCTCTTTTGCCTTTTTCTTTTAAATTAAGGTGAGTTCATATAACATAAAATTAACCATTAACCATTTTAAAGTGTACAGTTTATTGGCATTTAGTACGTTCACAGTCTTATACAACCGTCACCACTCTCTAGTTCCAAGACATTTTCATCACCCTATGAGGAAACCCATGCCCATTAAGCAGTCACTCCCTATTCTCCCCTCCCCTCAGCTCTTGGCAACCACTAGTGTACTTTCTGTTTCTATGGATTTACCTGTTCTGAATGATTCATATAAATGGAATCATACAGTATGTGACCTTTTGTATCTGGATTCTTTCATTTAGCCTAATATTTTTGAAGTTCATCCAAGTTGTAGCATATATCAGTACTTCATTCCTTTTTATGACTGAATAATATTCTGTTGTATGGATATACTACATTTTTTTTATCCGTTCTTCAGTCAACGGACATTTGAGTTGTTTCCACTTTTTGGCCATTGTAAATAGTGTTGCTATGAGCATTCTTGTACAAGTATTTGTTTAAATATCTGTTTTCAATTCTTTTGGTATAAACCTAGGCTATAATTGCTGGTCATATAGTAAATCTATGTTTAACTTTTTGAGGAACTGCCAAACTGTTTTCCACAGCAGCTGCACCATTTTATGTACCTACCAGCAATGTTCTAGGGTTCCAAATTCTCTACACTTTTTATTTTCCTCTTTTTAAATTACACCCATTGCCCTCTCTTGCTTTTGTAAGTATATTTCTTAAATCTAGAGATAAAAATAGTCTTGTGTTATGTTATTTCAAATACTGGTTTTTAAATGATGACCTTTTTTTCTGGTATTTTCCAAGTATAGGATAGGATCAATTCCTTAATGAATGAAATTATTGTTGGAAATTTTGTCCTTTTCTATAGTGATGGTTGGATAAAATGGTAACCTGGATAGCATCATTTGAGAAGAGCTTGGAGTGGATTCTAATTTGCATACATTGTATTGGACTTGTTATATATTATTTAAAAAGCATTTGATTATGGGTATATTTTGTAAAATTTACCACCTGGTGGATTTTTTTTTTTCCTTCAAACAAAAACAGAGCCTCACCAATATCTCTGACACCTAATGATGATTTTCATAACCATTTCTTAAAATACTAGATTTGCTTTAGTTTTTATGTCATGATAAAAGGACTTTTTACAATGAGAAAGCATTCCATTAATCTTTCTTTTTGTGATGTGCATTTATTTTGTAGGTACCAAAGACACTGGGATTATTAAGGATGTTAAGTGTCAAGTTTTATAGTCGTCAGGGAGAAGAACAGGTAATGCAAATTGGCTTAACCTTGTGTTTCTAACCTTGTGTTTCTCAGACATTTCCTCAGACTACCTTTAAGGGCAAAATTGAATGAACCTTAAATGTTACAGATCTTCATCTGGGCGTGCTCTTATATATTATATGGGTGTATGCATTAGTTAGAATTCATGGAGCTATGTGCTGAAAATTTGTATATTTTACTATATATCATTCTTATCTCAATAAAGAAAATTTAAAAAAAGTTTAAAGAATGAACCTAGTCCTCTTGGGTCTGGGGATGTAGCCCAAAGAAGTCTTCTGGAAGTATTATATATCTTCAGAGTTTCTAATTTTATCTTGTGAATTTTGTATCCTTGTCATAATATATCCTGTTTTGTTGGTTTGTTTTAAAATTAAAAATAATTTCTCCCTAAATCTGAGATTACTCATGCTCCACAAGGAAGTGCGCCACGTTGATCCTGGGCTTCAAGTATCATTGTTATACTCTTTTGATCCTCAGTAGGGGAGGCATGGATGCATGGCAAGGATGTTGGCCAGTTTCATCCTGAATATAAGCGATCCACTTAGGAACTGCCTCTGAGGGAGATGATTATATTCGCTCCCTATATATGGCTCTCACAAGAGCTTGACCTACTTGGGGACATCAGATCATACTCTTTCCAGTTTTGGGGAGAATCAAATAACCTAATTTTCCATTTCTTCAGTTTCCTAACTAAACAAAGGGAAATTGTAAGAAATATAGACATTGTAATAAATATAATGAGCGTTCTGTTGCATTTGTGTTTAATATATTTTAAATTTGGAGTTCTAGTTATTTCTTTACCGTTGACTTCAACTAAATCATGTATTCTGATTTGGTTTGGCATTCTATCTGTAGAATTGAGCAGTAGCACTACTCTTTATGTCTAGAAAGTCAATGTCATTTTTAATCCCTTATATCATTATACTGTTTTCCAGTTAGCATTCTCTGTAGTCATTTCATGGAATTGTCTTCATTTTGCAGATGAACAAACATATGCAAGAGTGAATGACTTGGCCTCTGCCATATACTTTGTTCTTTCTGATTTACTATGTTGCCTCTGTTGGTCTTTCTGTTATCATAATACTGCATGAGAGCATTACTTTGCTTTTCTCCTGTATCTTTTTCCCATTATCCTTAATACTATCTAAATAATAACTCTATCTTTAACAAATTTTAAAGGGTTCACTATTTTTTTTTCATGCTGTTGACTGTAATTAAACAGTAATGTGGAGTTTCAGCATTTATTTATTCTTTTAGTCAGTCAGCAAGCACTTATTTTGAGCCAGGCATGAGCTGAGAATAAAGAGATGAATAAAATGCAGTGTACTTCCTCAAGTTGCCCACAGTGTAGTGGGGGGACAGATATAGAAGCAGCTGTAAAATAGTACAATATTACACATTTTGTAACCTCTTCTATAATGTAATACAAAGTACCATTGAGGTGCAGAAGAGGGAGCATTTAGTTCTGGAGGTGACACTTGATTTGGAAGTAAGAGTTCCTCAGGCAGAAAGGAGAAGGCTGGGCATTGCCAGCTCAGGAGCAGCGTGTGCAAAGTCCTGGAGATGTAGAGAACACTGTGGGAAAAACGCCAGTTCTCTGGGTGTAGGATCCAGAGACTCTGTTTTTTGTGTTCTGTGTGTGTTGTATTTGGACCAATATAGTAGGATATCTAGAACAAGAATTATATGGGGATTGATATTCATAATTCTCCTTTGTACCATATCCTGTACATATTAGATACTGTGTTTATTAGTTGATTTGGTATATTAATAGGCAAATCTAACTCTATTCAATCAGTATAAAAAGACTATTTTCTTTTTACTCTTTCTTACCTCCTGGTGATTCCAGAATGTGTGCTGCCTTGACTCACTGCTATTGGTTATTCTCTTCTGTGGAACTCAGCTCTTTCTCATTCGCATCAGTATCCTCTGTGATTGAGCAGAAAGAGGGAGAAGCAAGCAACTAATTTCCTTGTATTTTGATGTTTGTGACACGTTGTACCAGAATCTTTAACTGTTTGGACTTTTAAAAAAGACTATGAAATTAGTATTCTAACATCAATGCCTTCCAGTAAATATCTGCATGTTATGTGTTTTATCTTTTGTACCCAATGCTTCCTAGCCCAGAAGTAATTATGGGGCATAGATTCTTTAGTGTCATAATTCTAGAGCTGAAAGGCCTTGCAGAGATTATCTAATAACCCCTTATTATTGTGAACACTTTCTAGCTTACACTTATTTTCATGTGATCTCACAGGAAGCTTGCATTACTGGCGTTATGGTGCCTGTTTTATTGATGAAGAAATTAAAGTCTCAAGAGAAATGGCTTACCAAACTCACTCACCTCGGCAGTGTCAGAGATGGGTTTGGTTTTGAGTTGGCTTGTGCTTTTTATCACTACCTCTTGTTGGCTCTTGTCTGTACCCTTAGTTGGACAGTTGAAGAAACACACGCCAGGATATATTGTACTTAAAAGTAGCCAGGTTATAAATTATTTATTATCTTAGAAAGAACGATCTCTTTTACTGCTCAAATTTGGCAGCAATTATATTTCTCTTTTAAAATGTGTATCTCTTAACTACTACTATTTTTTAAAAAGGGATCTGCTTTCCTCTATGGTAGCCAGATGGTTAATATTTAGGTCATTTTGTTCTCTTCACTTGTCAGACTAGGAAGAAGCAACACTGATTGGACAGTGTTAGAGGCAATATATATATAACACAGCCAAGGCAGTGATTATCACTTTGTGGGTACTCAGTAAATGATAGTGGTGGCTGCTGTTCTGTGAATTTCTTTATATCCATAATCACATAGCTAATAATTAGTAGTCTGTGGGTTCTTTTTGAATTGCGGTTTAGTATACCCAAAACTTGTATGATTCAAAATAACCAACTCCTGGTTGTCTGACATTTGATATTATCTTTCAAAGGGTATATTAATAATAAAAATTACGTATGTTCCTTTATAAAGGGTATTGGCTTGGAAAAATTTTTTTTCCAAAGGCTCCTTTTTTCCCTGCATACTTTTGCAGTGTTTTTTCCCCTCAGGTTGTTAACCATGTTTTTGAGGATGTCTTTCTCTTGATTTGAAAATGGATTTCTATTATTTATTTGTTCTGAGGGTCAGACTTCTAAACCACAGTGGGCTAGCATGTCTCCTGAGCTCCTTGAGGGTGGAGATGTGTGCTTGTTTTGCTCACTGCTGGCTCCCCAGAGTGTACAACAGTGCCTGGCGTGTAATATGTAGTATTGAATTTGTAATATTCAATACATAATTGTTGAATATTGAAAGAGCAGTGTTTACAAATTCATCTTTTACTGAGCTGATTTTTTTTTTTTTTCTTTAAGAATATGTAGTCATTCGGAACATTTTGAATGTATGCACTAGAGTTTGGTACTTTCATTTTAATATAGCTTGTACATTTGAAAGATATAATGAAATAGGAAATAACTCATTTTTAATTGTTCTATATAGATGATAGGCAGTTGAAGAAAGTGAGGTAATTTAAACTAATGGTACAAGGATTTGATATTTAACATTAAAAAAGTCTGTCTTTTAGAAAGGACAGTTGAAAAGTTTTATTGCAGTGTTTGGAGAGAAGGCACAATTCCTACTCTAAATATTGCTGCCAGTGGTAGAAGGCTTTAATTAGTGTTTTTAATTAACAAAAGATCAAATGGACATTTGAGCTAGTGCTTTAATATAAATGAGAAGTAGAGATGGAAATTAAAGTCATATTCACATTATTAATTTCAGTAGTAGTTGTTAGTTATCACATTGCTGTACAAAAGATTCAAGAAGTAAGAGGAAAGTATCTTTTGAAAAGTTTTAGGAAGAGATTTGAGACAAGAAGGTAAATATAATTGATAATGTGGTCAATTAAAAGGGCCCTGGAAAGGGGCCGGCCTGGTGGCACAGCAGTTAAGTGCACGCTCTCCACTTCGGCGTCCCCGGGTTCACAGGTTCGGATGCCTGGTGCACACCGAGGCACTGCTTGTCAAGCCATGCTGTGTCGGCATCCCATATAAAGTAGAGGAAGATGGGCACGGATGCTAGCCCAGGGCCAGTCTTCCTCGGCAAAAAGCGGAGGATTAGCATTGGATGTTAGCTCAGGGCTGATCATCCTCACAAAAAAAAAAAAAAAAGGGGATAAATGAATTACTGGTAAAAGGAGGCAGTCTACTGTGCAGAAGCTCTTTGTCAGCCGTCTTCCTGTGCCCCATGCTGTCTACCCAGTGATACTAACTTACCAAGTAATTATTTAGCTAGACTACTTTTCAGTGTAGTTAAAACCTCATGGAGGGCCGGCCCTGTGGCTTGGTGGTTAAGTGCGCGCGCTGCGATGCTGGTGGCCCGGGTTCGGATCCCGGGTGCGCATCGAGGCACCACTTCTCCATTCATCCTGAGGCCGAGTCCCACATACAGCAACTAGAAGGATGTGCAGCTACGACATACAACTATCCACTGGGGCTTTGGGGGGAAAAAATAAAATAAATAAAATCTTTAAAAAAAAAAAATAAAATAAAACCTCATGGAAAAGAGTAGGCTGAAGCAGGTAGTGATATTCACCTTTCTCTTTCCCTCATCTTCATTGAGGTATAATTGTAAGATATTTAAAGTGTATGTGATGATTTGATATACATATACATTGTGAAAGGATTTTCCCCCATTGAGTTAACACGTTCGTCACCTCACATATTTACCTTCTTCTGTGTGTGAGAACGTTTAAGTCCTCCTCTCTTAGCAAATTTCAGTTATGCACTACAGTATTATCAACTACAGTTACCATATTATACATTAGATCCTCAGATCTTATTCATCTTATAACTGAAAGTTTATACTCTTTTAACTGCCCTCTCGCTATTTTCTTTGTTTCTATGACTTTGACTTTTTTTTTAAGATTCCACATGTGAGTGATATCATACAGTAGTTGTCTTTCTGTGTCTGGCTTATTTCATTTAGCATAATGCCCTCCAGGTTTATCC